TGAAAACTGAGAGGAAGTAGGTATTTAGAATTTCACACATATCCTTATCACTGTCAGTGATCTGACTAGAGTTACTCTTAAGTCAACATTCGATGGCTCTCAGGAACAAATTAATATCGAATGTCAGGGGTCCACTGTATCTGAAAACATTCACTTCTTCCATACTCCTCCCCAATTTGATATCCAATTTTTCTTTATCTAAATCATTTGATACTCTCATCACCTTATGTATACACCTACCATCCGACTTACGACCAAGCTTCGTTCCAACTAACAGGTCGTAAGTCAAAATGCACATAAGTCGAACCTTTGAAAATTGCCGACATGCTGGGTAGGGCATAATGTCAAACTTTTCCTATATAAACTACCTACATAGTACTGTAATGTAATGTACAATCATTATTTCATTCTTTTTACCATAATTTACTTCTATTGTAAAGAATCACACACAAAGTGGGAGTTGTCACAGCTGCTCTTTGCTGATGACACTGTGCTCTTGGGAGATTCTGAAGAAAAGTTGCAGAGATTGGTGGATGAATTTGGTAGGGTGTGCAAAAGAAGAAAATTAAAGGTGAATACAGGAAAGAGTAAGGTTATGAGGGTAACAAAAAGATTAGGTGATGAAAGATTGAATATCAGATTGGAGGGAGAGAGTATGGAGGAGGTGAACGTATTCAGATATTTGGGAGTGGACGTGTCAGGGGATGGGTTCTATGAAAGATGAGGTGAATCATAGAATGATGAGGAAAAGAGTGAGTGGTGCACTTAGGAGTCTGTGGAGACAAAGAACTTTGTCCTTGGAGGCAAAGAGGGGAATGTATGAGAGTATAGTTTTACCAACGCTCTTATATGGGTGTGAAGCGTGGGTGATGAATGTTGCAGCGAGGAGAAGGCTGGAGGCAGTGGAGATGTCGTGTCTGAGGGCAATGTGTGGTGTGAATATAATGCAGAGAATTCGTAGTTTGGAAGTTAGGAGGAGGTGCGGGATTACCAAAACTGTTGTCCAGAGGGCTGAGGAAGGGTTGTTGAGGTGGTTCGGACATGTAGAGAGAAGGAGCGAAACAGAATGACTTCAAGAGTGTATCAGTCTGTAGTGGAAGGAAGGCGGGGTAGGGGTCGGCCTAGGAAGGGTTGGAGGGAGGGGGTAAAGGAGGTTTTTGTGTGCGAGGGGGTTCGACTTCCAGCAGGCATGCGTGAGCGTGTTTGATAGGAGTGAATGGAGACAAATGGTTTTTAATACTTGACGTGCTGTTGGAGTGTGAGCAAAGTAACATTTATGAAGGGATTCAGGGAAACCGGCAGGCCGGACTTGAGTCCTGGAGATGGGAAGTACAGTGCCTGCACTCTGAAGGAGGGGTGTTAATGTTGCAGTTTAAAAACTGTAGTGTAAAGCACCCTTCTGGCAAGACAGTGATGGAGTGAATGATGGTGAAAGTTTTTCTTTTTCGGGCCACCCTGCCTTGGTGGGAATCGGCCAGTGTGATAATAAAAAAAAAAAAAAAAAAAAAAAAAAAAAAAATATTTATGTACTGTATATAATGTATAAATGGTAGTGAACTGTATTGTAAATTTTACATCGCATACAGTATCATATGTTACTGTTATCTTTATGTATTGTCGACACAGTGGAATGGGAGAATACCACTGGTAGTGTCATCCTACCAGAATGTTGGTTGGCTGGTTGGCTGACTGAATGTGGATGTGTGTCTCTCTCTCTCTCTCTTAGGTACACATAAGTGAAGTTATCATACATAGTATAAATTACCTAGGATAACCCAAAAAATCCTTGCCCAACATAAGTATAATATAAATCTGAATGTTGCAAACTTGCAATTGTTAATAAAACACCCAATAACTATTTTTTAAATTTATTATACAAACAGACAATATTAAAAACATAATGGAACTTGTATCAAAACAGTTTGTATGTATTAGAAAAATATAAAAATGAAACAAATAGCAACATGGACACATTGCAAAGGGATAAAACTTTCAAGTCCCATATTGCTGAGATTCATGAGGAAGACCAATTATTCTATATTGCTAATTGATAGTATGGTAGTTGCTGAAGCAATTTCTATTACTCTTTATGCACAGATTTACTTTGCATACAGAACATTGGAATGAGGATGTGACAAATTTCTTTGAGTTGCTGCAATACTTGCAACTAAGCGGCTTTTTCCCTGCCAGTGGCAAGTGATTTAGAGTTCTGTCAAGCCTAACACTGTCATCAGGCCTTTCTGCACGTTGGCCCTGCACAGCTTTCACTACGCTAACACTATTGGAAGTACATGGTGAATTACTTGGTGAATGTAGACATATTTTGACCTGGTGCTGGAGGGCTCCCCATAAAACAATTTCTCATTGATCTGGAAGGACAATAAAAACCTTTTGTATAGATCCAGACCACTACAGAATTCATATATACAATAGAATTTTTTTTTATAAATATTTATTTTACTGAAATTGTATTATGTCACTTCTAGGGCAGCAACGAAAATTTTCGTGCTTCCTTTGTTGCACTTTTTTCAACTGCATGCTACACTCACATTATGCTTCACACGGACTTTATATATATATATCAAAATATGCCTAAACTATCCATGTACGCACTAAACACAACAATCAGTACTTACCGACATTGTAGAGGGTAAAATCCAAGAGTATATTAGTGACACTGGAAGGGAAAAACCCACTCTGGGTGACGCCAAGCCACAAGTGTTTATGTTTTGTTATCTCATCCAATGGGAAGGCGGCAAACACCATCACCACTTATCTGAAGCGACTCAGGGAAGGCTTGTGATTGGTTAGAATTAAAGATCGGGAATCCAGATGAGCGGTGCGTGTAGGATGACACGCGCAAACTTGCACGTGTTTTAAGCGAGAAAATTTTCCCGCTGCGCGACAAAGGGTTAATGTAGAGTGAGAGGTGAGTAAACAAGATTAAATGAGAAAGAATGAGAGGTAGAAGGTTCGCGAGTTATGTAAACAAACATTGTTGTTGTTGTTATCAGCCCAGACACGAATGGTTTTTGTTCACTCTGTCAAGCCGACCAGAAAAACATCTCATATTTGTTAATTTATATGTTATGTAGCATGTTTATTATATAATTTTGAAAAAAAATTATAGATGGATTAAGCCAAATGTCTATATTAACATTTTATACACATTTAATGCGCCTCAGTGATTATTATTGTGTTATTATCATTGTTAATATGGCGTCTTCAAGACCAATTACACTCTTAATGAGTGGCTCTGATACAGACAAGCAGACAGAAAGACAGACACAGGTAGACAGAAAGACAGACACACAGAAAGACACACACAGGTAGACAGAAAGACAGACACACACTCAGGTAGGCATAAAGACAGACACACAAGTAGACAGAAAGACACACAGGTAGACAGAAAGACACACAGGTATACAGAAAGACAGACACACAGGTAGACATAAGAACATAGGAACATAAGAACGAAGGAACACTGCAGAAGGCCTTCTGGCCCATGCGAGGCAGGTCCAAGTCTCCTACCGGCTTAAGCCAATGCACCCAACCTAGTCAGGTCAGGTCACATTGCCTTAAGGGAGGAACACGGCAACCGTCCTGGTAGCACAAGCTTTCAGGTCTAACTCACACCCACCCACATCTACTCATGTATTTATCCAACCTATTTTTAAAGCTACACAACGTTCTGGCCTCTATAACGGTACTTGGGAGTTTGTTCCACTCATCCACAACTATTACCAAACCAGTGCTTTCCTATATCCTTCCTGAATCTGAATTTTTCCAACTTAAAACCATTGCTGCGAGTCCTGTCTAGGCTAGATATTTTCAGCACACTATTTACATCCCCTTTATTTATTCCTGTCTTCCATTTATACACCTCAATCATATCCCCCCTAATTCTACGTCTTTCTAGAGAGTGCAGATTCAGGGCCCTTAGTCTATCCTCATAGGGATAAACAGACAAACAGATGCACAGAGATACAGACAGACACAGGCAGACAGATACAGACAGGTTTATGTGCAACAGTGAAAACAAATAGAGAGTTGGAGAGTAAGAGCCTTTCTTTCCACAATCTCCAGTGCAAGATTCAGACTTCATCTTAGGGGCCATGGTGAAATTTACTGTCCAGTTAGCACAGTTAATACAGTATGATGCTGCTGATAGGGCAGAGTTACTCAAACTGATGCTGCCTGCATGACGCATTTGCCGCCGCGAGTATTGTCAAATACTGTACAGTGGTGTGCATCAGCTGGCCCAGCCCAGCTACCAGATGCACGGTCGTAAGTCGAGTGGACGTATGTCGAGCAGGCCGTAAGTCAGATGGTAGGTGTATATATATATATATATATATATATATATATATATACACACACACACACACACACACACACACACACACACACACACACACACACACACACCACACACACACAAACACACACCACACACACACACACACACACACACACACCCCACACACACACACACACACACACACACACACACACACACACAGTAGGGCCCTACTTTATGGCATTTCGCCTTACAGTGTTCCGCTAATATGGCTTTCTCAAATTATGACCAAAACTCACTATATGGCTTCCCCTGTCTTTCTAATGTGGCACACCTCACCCAGTTTGTTTACATTCTCCATGAGCACATCTCTCTATTATGTCTGGAAACTTTCCAAAATTTCAAGTGTTTTAAAGTTATTGCATATTTTACGTGTACTCTGATAATTATACTTATGTGTACCTGTACCTAAATATACTTACATACTGTGCTGGCATGCAGGTACATATTAAAATCACTTAGAGTGTCCCTCTAATCTTAATGCCATAGTAATAAGGTATATTAAATTCAAAGTTTATTACTTTATTGCCTATTCAGTAGATGGTTTGTGCATTTCTGAATATATTTTTTATTTTTAATATTTTTGTTTCTGTCATATTACTTCATTTTATATTTTTATTTTATTTTTTTTTTTTTGCAGCACACAAGAGGAGCCACATCAATGTCCTGTATCTAAATAATTTTAAGTAAATCTGCTTCAGTAAGTCATCTGAGAAGTTATCTAGGAGATAAATCCTTTTCAGGGCTCAGTTTCCAGAACAATTTTCATAAAAATATCGCCAAATAAAACATTTGGAATAAAAGAATATTAGTATTTGGTGTGACAAGGATTTTGGAAGAAACATTGGCCAAAACATGAGTGATAACTCTGTTGAGAAACCATATCAGTGTTCTGTGTGTCACAAAGACTGGACTAAAAAATCACTTTTAATGAGACACATGAGAGTTCATACCCGAGAAAAGCCATATAAGTGTGAAATATGCAGTGCAGACTTTGCGCAAAAGGAACATCTGGTAAATCACATGAGAAGGCATACAGGGGAGAAACCATATCAGTGTTCATTGTGTTTAAGAGCCTTTTCTCGAAATAAGAGTATGATTATTCACATGCAATGTCATTCAAAAACAAATCCCCTTAATAAGTATGCAGAGACTATTAGAAAACTTAAAGAGTCACGTCAAGCCACATGTGAGAAATCTCAAACTGGGGAGACACAAAATGAAGGCTATGAGTGTCCCACTTGTCCGAAAGTCTTAAAAAGTGAATTAAACCTTGCCAAACACATGGAAAAACACGCAGGAGAGAAAACATACACGTGTGAAGTGTGTCACAAAGTCTTTCATCGGAAGCCTCATCTTGAACAGCATATAAGACTACATACAGGAGAGAAACCATTTCATTGTACAGAATGTTTAAAAGACTTTACTCAAAGAGCTCATCTTGAGCTTCACAAGAGACTTCATAAGAAAGAGAAACCGTATCAGTGTACAGAGTGTCTTAAATGCTTCACTCAAAAATCTCATTTAGTACTACATTTCAGACTTCATACTGGAGAGAAACCATATAAATGTTCAGTGTGTCTGAAGGAGTTTTCGGATAAATCATCTCAAAAAAAACATATGAGAGTTCATACAAAAGAGAAGCCGTATCATTGCTTAGAATGTCCGCAAAGCTTTTCACAGAAGAGATCTCTTGTTCATCATATGACTCAGCACACAGGAAAGAAACCATACCACTGTTCAGAGTGTGGAAAAAATTTTGGTATAAAATTAAGTTTAGTGGCACATATGAAAAGAAGTCATATATGAATGTAACATAAGAGAAAGAAATGCTTAATTTGAGTACAGCATATTAGAAATACTGAAAGGAACCTTTATCATATTGTAGGAGTAGAAAAGACTTCTAGAATATATCTCAAGTATATGAGAGTATTTGTAAGGCAATATATCATCTAATATCTGAACCAGAAACATGGAAGAATCTTGAGATAAAGATGAATGTGACTAAATCACTGCAACAAATGTGAGACCGTAGTAATAGTTCACTCCAGCATATTAATTTGTCTTAGTTTCTCGATTTGTGTATACTACTTTCATAAATATACACCACTACCTTGTAACACCTCAATGTTTTCTGTAAAATAGCATTAGTTTTTAACCCTTTTGAGGTGAGTCCCATAGTGCTGTGGCTTTGAAGCCCAGGTCAGTCCCATTGGTCTACATGATGAGCTTAGCTCTCTCAGATAGACTATGAGCGGTAAATTTGGTAAGTGTGCACCATATAAAAAAATCCTGCAGTACGTAATGCATAATAAAAGAAATGCCACTGTGTTTTTGGTTTAAAACAGTGACTTTGGTGTGTTTTCGGTTTCTTGGTCTCATTTGATAGAATGGAAGATATATCAGGGAAATAGAGATAATTTTGATTGGTTTCAGGACAAAGTAGCTGAATTTGAGCTCAAAGTAGCGGAAATGTTAAATTCTTGCTGATGTTCAAGAGTACAAAAATTACGTCACTTGTCCAATACTTGTCCAACTGGTCGGTCTAATACGTGTTCACAAACACTGACATTGTTTATACATTTATTACAATAATGCGATAGTCTGCATAAGAGTAATTTTTTTTTTTTGTATAAAAATTTAAAATGGAAAGCAAGTGTAATGTGATGAACAAAGGAAATGTTTTTTTAGTATCAGGGGTGAATGCGTACATTGTTTATTCTAGACCCTATTTTTAAAGTGGCAAATTTTGAATTTTGTGTCAAATTGGCCAAATTACCAATTTCTGATCACTTTATTGGGTAAACTCCAGGTAGTTGAAATGGTAAATGGATGGTTTCTTGTACTTAGTCATTAGAATAGAAGGAATACTAGCAAAATAGCTGTGGGTATGGGCGACTGAAACAGTGGTATTAGCCGAAAATATGGCTCAAAGTGGGTGAAATTGCCAATGCATAAATATCACCGAGACTCCAAACTTTGCCAGCGCCTATTTCGGTAAATTTTTCATCAAATTTTGGTTTCATTACCTTCAAGAAAAAGATTCTCTTGTCATATCATAAGTACATACATATATACATATTTTTAAATTCTCCGATCCTAAGAGCAAGTTTCAGATCAGGGGTTCCGACCCTGAAAGGGTCAAATTGAACATCCTCAATAACTATGTTTTCTTTATGCTCAGATCTTTATTTACTTTTTTTTTGTTTTTTGGTCTTTGGTTAAACATTTAATTAGTTCCTTAACCCTTTGTGTTGAGACCTCTGCTCACAAACTTGCTCTCAGTGTCTAAAAGAAAAAAAGAAATGTTTTTCTTATGAAATGATAGAGAATCTTTTCCCAATGGTAATGACACCAAAAGTACGAAATTTAATGGAAGACTCATGAAATACCGCTCTCACAAAGTTGGCAGTCTCGGCGATATATATGCATCGGGGATTTTGCCCACTTTCAGCCCAATTTTCAGTTAATTTCATTGTTCCAGTTGATCAAACTAATAGCTATTTTGCTAGAATTCCATTTGTTCTATAGATTGAGTACAAGAAACAGCCCATTTACCGATTTCAACTACCCAATAAAATGGTCAGAAATTGGCAATTTGGCCAATTTCACACAAATTTCAAAAGATGCCAGTTTCAAAATAGGGTCCAGAATAAACAATGCAGACATTCCTGACACTAAAATAACATTTTCTCTGTTTATTAGTGCCCACAGGATGGGTATGGGGTGCATAATAAACATATTAAACTAAACTAACTAACTCTGTTTATTAGTCACGTCTCCAGGCCCCTCTTATGTTACTCTTGCTTTCCATTTTGAATTTTTATTCACACAAAAAATAGAAGATTTACTGTTATGCAGACTACTGCATTATTGTAATAATTGTTTAAATAATGTCAACCCATTCGTGACTGTGTATTAGACTGCCCAGTTGGACACATATTGGACTGTGATGTCATTTGTTTACTCTTGAACATTGGCAAAACATTTATGCTACTTTGAGCTCAATTTCAAGGTACTTTTCATCATGAAACCAATCAAAATCATCTCTATTTCGGTAATATATCTTCCATTCTCTCAAATGAGACCAAGAAAATGAGAATACAACCATAAATGTTATAGGAAAATACACCTCAAAGTCAGCGCTTTAAACCAAAAATACGGTCGGATTTTTTTTTTCTCATACACTGTGTGCTGCAGGATTTTTTTTATACATACTGCTCACACCGACCATGCAGACCCATTCTCTCACATGTAAGTCTACCAACTTTCTCCCGATAGATATGAAGCTGCTAGAATTTTGGCATAATACTAGGGCATCAACACTGGTTTGCGAGCTGTAGTACTACAGCACCGACATTGAAAGGGTTAATGCTATAAAGGTAGACCTCACATAATGTAGCACTTCCATTCTCGAAATTGGCACTTTATGTAAATTCATGCTGTGAACTGTATCAAAAAAAATTGGGTTAAGTACATATTACTTTCAAAATAACAATTTAACAATTTTTTTGTGTATATCACAAAAAATAATTAATGTTTTGACAAAATACATTAAAGAAGTTGTTACTTGTTCAAGAAACGTGCATCACATGTCTAAATCCTAAATTAAAGCTTATTAAATAAGCAAGTCCCTTGAGAAGCTTGTGTTTTATGCGGTATGCCTCTTCCTAAGAAAATTGGCATGGTTCTCAGTCCAGAGAAAATGAAGATGACTAAATACACAACCAGTGACTCTTGTTAATATAATACACAGTCTTCTCTTGTTCAGTGCACCAGCCATATGCCACCGAAGCAGGCTGGCCCAAAAAGAAAAACAAAAGTTTCTCTTTATAAATTTAGTAATGTATACAGGAGAAGGGGATACTAGCCCCTTGGTCCTGGCATTTTAGTCACCTCTTACAACATGCATGGCTTTTGGAGGAAGAGCAGCGCTGTATAGCCCTTGTGGCTTAGCGCTTCTTTTTGATTATAATAATAATAATTTTGGAGGAAGAATTCTGTTCCACTTCCCCATGGAGATAAGAGGAAATAAACAAGAACAAGAACCGGTAAGAAAAAAGAAAACCCAGAGGAGTGTATGTATATATATGCTTGTACATGCATGTGTAGTGTGACCTAAGTAGCAAGACGTACCTGAAAATTTGCACGTTTATTAGACAGAAAAAAAGACACCAGCAATCCTACCATATAAAACAATTGCAGGTTTCTGTTTTACACTCAGTAGGATGGTAGTACTGTCCTGGGCGGTTGCTGTCTACCAACCTGCTACACAATCTTATCAGTAGAAAATATTTTTGTAAAAAGAAGAAGAGTTTTACCTTAACTTAGATTCTTTGTTTCCTTTGCTTGTTTATATATGATTATGTAGCTGAAGGAGTAGTAGATGGTTATATAAGTACTGAGGAGTAGACAACTGAGAGTAGTAGATTTCATCACAGTGATGAATTTTATACATTAAATCAGTGATGCAGTCACACCTTTCACTATGCAGTTTAACCTTTATAATAGTGACAAGGAAGAATTTTTATCATACTGAACCTTAAATATATTGTTCAGCTTCATATTGATAAGAATTGTTTGGAGATGATTAATAAGTACTGAAAAATAGATAGTTCAGTAGTGCATGTGTTGTTTCATCACAGTGATGCCTTTCATATATTTAATCAGGTGATGCAGTTATGCCTTTATACAATTACCTTATTTATAATAGTGACAAGAACAAAATTTTATCATACATTAAATTCCCTTTGTCTTGCATGTTGATGAAGAATTGTTAGAGAGATGTTTATGTAGCTTAGTAAGCAGTGACTGCTGTAGGACGTTTGATCAGTTGACACTATCACATTTCACCACAATTTTGTCATTTATAATAGTAACAAGTAAGTATTTTATACCGTAATTTTTTTGTTTTATTGCTTACTGATAAACAAGTGCTTGGAGAGTTTATTTGACAAATGAGCAGTAGACATGTTTTATTTTTATCATCTGATGCCACACATTAATTCATAGCTGATCCACCATACTTCACTATATAATACAGTGGACCCCCGGTTTACGATATTATTTCATTCCAGAGGTATGTTCAGGTGCCAGTACTGAACGAATTTGTTCCCATAAGGAATATTGTGAATTAGATTAGTCCATTTCAGACCCCCAAACATACACGTACAAACGCACCTACATAAATACACTTACATAATTGGTCGGATTGGGAGGTGATCGTAAACTGGGGTCCACTGTATTCTTGTTTATAATAGAGACAAGAATGTATTTTATCATATCTTAAATTTCTTGTTTCATTACCTGTTGATAAAGATGTGTTTAAAGATAGTTATAAGTCGACAAGTGTGAATTGTGTTCAGCTATGCACCACACATTTCAATTTACAATTTTTTTCATTTATAATAGGGAAAAGGGAATTTTCCTAGTGGGAATCAACCTAAACTATTTTTTTCTAATTTACCCATGTTGGAGCAGTGTATTAATAATTTTGGGATGTAAATACAGTGGTACCCCGAGTTTCCACCATAATTTGTTCCAGAAGGCTGTTCAAGTGCCATTACTGAATGAATTTGTTCCCATAAGGAATAATGTAAATTAGAATAGTCTGGTTTAGACCCCCCAAAAATACGCTCACAAAAGCACTTAAAATAATACACTTACATAATTGTTATGGAAGGAGAAAAGAGAATATGAATGTGTAAATTCAAGAATTATGTGGATTAAAGTAAAGGTTGGATGCGTTGGATGCGAGAAGTGGGTCATAATAAATGTGTATGCACCTGGAGAAGAGAGGAATGCAGAGGAGAGAGAGAGATTTTGGGAGATGTTAAGTGAATGTATAGGAGCCTTTGAACCAAGTGAGAGAGTAATTGTGGTAGGGGACCTGAATGCTAAAGTAGGAGAAACTTTTAGAGAGGGTGTGGTAGGTAAGTTTGGGGTGCCAGGTGTAAATGATAATGGGAGCCCTTTGATTGAACTTTGTATAGAAAGGGGTTTAGTTATAGGTAATACATATTTTAAGAAAAAGAGGATAAATAAGTATACAAGATATGATGTAGGGCGAAATGACAGTAGTTTGTTGGATTATGTATTGGTAGATAAAAGGCTGTTGAGTAGACTTCAGGATGTACATGTTTATAGAGGGGCCACAGATATATCAGATCACTTTCTAGTTGTAGCTACACTGAGAGTAAAAGGTAGATGGGATACAAGGAGAATAGAAGCATCAGGGAAGAGAGAGGTGAAGGTTTATAAACTAAAAGAGAAGGCAGTTAGGGTAAGATATAAACAGCTATTGGAGGATAGATGGGCAAATGAGAGCATAGGCAATGGGGTCGAAGAGGTATGGGGTAGGTTTAAAAATGTAGTGTTAGAGTGTTCAGCAGAAGTTTGTGGTTACAGGAAAGTGGGTGCGGGAGGGAAGAGGAGCGATTGGTGGAATGATGATGTAAAGAGAGTAGTAAGGGAGAAAAAGTTAGCATATGAGAAGTTTTTACAAAGTAGAAGTGATGCAAGGAGGGAAGAGTATATGGAGAAAAAGAGAGAGGTTAAGAGAGTGGTGAAGCAATGTAAAAAGAGAGCAAATGAGAGAGTGGGTGAGATGTTATCAACAAATTTTGTTGAAAATAAGGAAAAGTTTTGGAGTGAGATTAACAAGTTAAGGAAGCCTAGAGAACAAATGGATTTGTCAGTTAAAATAGGAGAGGAGAGTTTTTAAATGGAGAGTTAGAGGTATTGGGAAGATGGAGGGAATATTTTGAGGAATTGTTAAATGTTGATGAAGATAGGGAAGCTGTGATTTCGTGTATAGGGCAAGGAGGAATAACATCTTGCAGGAGTGAGGAAGAGCCAGTTGTGAGTGTGGAGGAAGTTCGTGAGGCAGTAGGTAAAATGAAAGGGGGTAAGGCAGCCAGGATTGATGGGATAAAGATAGAAATGTTAAAAGCAGGTGGGGATATAGTTTTGGAGTGGTTGGTGCAATTATTTAATAAATGTATGGAAGAGGGTAAGGTACCTAGGGATTGGCAGAGAGCATGCATAGTTCCTTTGTATAAAGGCAAAGGGGATGAAAGAGAGTGGAAAAATTATAGGGGGATAAGTCTGTTGAGTATACCTGGTAAAGTGTATGGTAGAGTTATTATTGAAAGAATTAAGAGTAAGACGGAGAATAGGATAGCAGATGAACAAGGAGGCTTTAGGAAAGGTAGGGGGTGTGTGGACCAGGTGTTTACAGTGAAACATATAAGTGAACAGTATTTAGATAAGGCTAAAGAGGTCTTTGTGGCATTTATGGATTTGGAAAAGGCGTATGACAGGGTGGATAGGGGGGCAATGTGGCAGATGTTGCAGGTGTATGGTGTAGGAGGTAGGTTACTGAAAGCAGTGAAGAGTTTTTACAAGGATAGTGAGGCTCAAGTTAGAGTATGTAGGAAAGAGGGAAATTATTTCCCAGTAAAAGTAGGCCTTAGACAAGGGTTGTAAGAGAAGTGAATGCGAAGGTCTTGGCAAGAGGCGTGGAGTTAAAAGATAAAGAATCACACACAAAGTGGGAGTTGTCACAGTTGCTCTTTGCTGATGACACTGTGCTCTTGGGAGATTCTGAAGAGAAGTTGCAGAGATTGGTGGATGAATTTGGTAGGGTGTGCAAAAGAAGAAAATTAAAGGTGAATACAGGAAAGAGTAAGGTTATGAGGGTAACAAAAAGATTAGGTGATGAAAGATTGGATATCAGATTGGAGGGAGAGAGTATGGAGGAGGTGAATGTATTCAGATATTTGGGAGTGGACGTGTCAGCGGATGGGTCTATGAAAGATGAAGTGAATCATAGAATTGATGAGGGGAAAAGGGTGAGTGGTGCACTTAGGAGTCTGTGGAGACAAAGAACTTTGTCCTTGGAGGCAAAGAGGGGAATGTATGAGAGTATAGTTTTACCAATGCTCTTATATGGGTGTGAAGCATGGGTGATGAATGTTGCAGCGAGGAGAAGGCTGGAGGCAGTGGAGATGTCATGTCTGAGGGCAATGTGTGGTGTGAATATAATGCAGAGAATTTGTAGTTTGGAAGTTAGGAGGAGGTGCGGGATTACCAAAACTGTTGTCCAGAGGGCTGAGGAAGGGTTGTTGAGGTGGTTCGGACATGTAGAGAGAATGGAGCGAAACAGAATGACTTCAAGAGTGTATCAGTCTGTAGTGGAAGGAAGGCGGGGTAGGGGTCGGCCTAGGAAAGGTTGGAGGGAGGGGGTAAAGGAGGTTTTGTGTGTGAGGGGTTTTTTAATACTTGACGTGCTGTTGGAGTGTGAGCAAAGTAACATTTATGAAGGGGTTCAGGGAAACCGGCAGGCCGGACTTGAGTCCTGGAGATGGAAGTACAGTGCCTGCACTCTGAAGGAGGGGTGTTAATGTTGCAGTTTAAAAACTGTAGTGTAAAGCACCCTTCTGGCAAGACAGTGATGGAGTGAATGATGGTGAAAGTTTTTCTTTTTCGGGCCACCCTGCCTTGGTGGGAATCGGCCAGTGTGATAAAAAAAAAAAAAAAAAAAATGATAATAATAATTGTTCAAGTTGGGAGCTGTATGAAACTCGGGGTACCACTGTATGAAGAGCTTTCTGAAGGGTGGTGTTATGTAAACACTGTGATGAGAGGCCAGTCTGTATATCAGGCAACTATATATCACTTTCATTTCATTTTAAGTGAAAGACTGGTCATACATGATAGTGTTGTATCTTGGTTATAAGTGTTACAATCACCCTTAAGTGTATAAATTATTTTTATTTCTAGTAATAAACTTTCAAAAAAATTTAGGGCTGATTGAATTCCTTTATAAATTTAGGTTTTCTCATGGTTTTTTCACTTCATTGCTTTTGATATGCAGTAGATCCCCAACTTAAGATGATAATGATTTCCTGAAAATTTATCTTAAGTTGAATGTTTGGCACTCAGAACCTATTTTCTCTTAAGAAATAATAGAAATTAGTTTAATGCATTTCCATGCTCAACTTTTTCATTTGTAATTTTTTCAAAATTTAAAAAATACATACAGTAGGCCTTTGATACAGCAGACCTATGAATATTGTACTTCAGATATTTGGAACAAAATCTGCTGGGTCATTCAACTTGAAAAAAATGGACAAAGCCAGTTGGTTACAGACCTATCCATGATTGTTACAATCACAGCAAAACAATCTCTTTTTCTGTCCATTACAGTTGCTATTAGTAGCTACCAACTTCCCTTTATTAGTCCATTATATGAAGCATTTACTGTATTTAGCATTCAGTGCAGTTGCTTTTTCACTCAAAAGTATTAAACAATGTTTAATTAATGTACTGGATGCATGTTAACATGAGAAAGGGAGAGGGAGGAAGGGGAAGAGAGCAGTAGTGAAGGGAGTGAGTGTTGTGGGAGGTGTGTAGGGGGAGTGTTGTGGCAGGTACATCGTCTAATTGAACCATCCCTCACTTCCTATCTTTTCCCACTCACAATCTAGCATACTAGCTCAACATAAATAATTAGGATTTATAAAGGCTGCTATGTGATCCATTAACTGTATCCTGGTATTGCATACCTCCAGACCCTGGAAAAGTGTAGAGTGCAGCATGAGTTTGTAATGCAGTTGAATATTAGATTTGAAGATTTGTAATGAATCAGAGGAGGCATTCACAAGTGATCATATGGAAATTACTGTCTAAATTTCTATATCAATTTCTATAGTGGCACATTAGCCTCTTGACGGTCTGTGCTGTAGGTGTACAGTTTTAAAGCCACGGTCCATGCAATAATATACTACATTATGAACTCAGCTCACTCAAATAAGCTGTGAGTGTTAAATTTGGGTCTAGATATGAGATAATGCATATGTGTGGTAAGTGTGCACTATATGAAACAAATCCTGCAGCACACAGGGCATAATGAGAAAAAAAAAACTGCGACCGTGTTTTTGGATTAAAACAGCTAATTTGCGTTGTATTTTCGCATGGTTTTTATAGTTGTATTCGCGGTTTCATGGTCTCATTTGATAGAATGAAAGATATATAGCAGAAATAGAGATGATTTTGATTGGTTTAGTACTGAAAATAGCTTGAAATTCTGCTTCAGGTAGCAGAAATGTTCAGTTTTTGCTGATGTTCAAGAGTAAACAAATCATATCACGCTTCCAGTACCCGTCAGCTGGTTTGTCTTATATGTGTTCACGAATGTGCTAATATTATTTATACAATTATTACAAAATTGCATAACCTGGAGTTTACCTGGTGAGGGTTTCAGTGGTCAGTGCCCCCATGGCTCGGTCTGAGACCAGGCCTCATGGTGGATCAGGGTCTGATCAACCAGGCTGTTACTGCTGGCCACACGCAAACTGACGTACGAATCACAGCCCGGTTGGTCAGGTACTGACTTTAAGTGTCTGTTCAGTGCCTTCTTGAAGACAGCCAGGGGTCTGTTGGTAATCCCCCTTATGTATGCTGACAGGCAGTTGAAGACTCTTGGGCCCCGGACATTTACTGTGTTGTCTCTCACTGTCATCGTGGCACCCCTGCTTTTCATCGGGGGGACGTTGAATCTCCTGTCGAATCTTTTCCTTTCATAGGGAGTGATTTTTGTGTGCAAGTTTGGTACTAATCCCTCTAGAGTAAATTTTCTATTTTTTGGTGTTAATAAAAATTCTATATGAATTATGAATCAAAATGTCATTCATATTTTAAGCCTGGAACAGAGGAAATGTTATTTTAGTGCCAGGAATACCTGCTTCGTTTATTCTGGACCCTATTTTGAAATTTGAATTGTTTGAACTTTGTGAAATTGGCCAAATTATCAATTTCTGATGCAAGACTAGAAAGACCATCATTTTCTGGCTTGAAACAACATGGCAGTTATCCCCCACCTTTCGTTGTCTCCAGACCTAGCCACCTGTGACTTCTTTCTTTCCCAAAAAATGAAAATGGCACTCAAGGGGTGGCATTTTAACGATGTGCAGAACAGCTCTAGAATTGTAATCAAAACTGTGAGAAGTTGCAAAGGCACAAGGGTCAGTGTGTAGCCTCCTAGGAAGAGTTCACTGCGGGATTATTATTATTATAATCAAGGGGGAAGCGCTAAACCCGGAGGATTATACAGCGCCTGGGGGGGGGATGTGGAAGGCATTCAGGCTTAATTCGGGGAACTGGAGCACAGATCCAATTCCCTAAATCAAGAGCCCCTCACCAACATCAAGGAACCTTCCTTGAGGGGTCACTGCGGGAGACAATTTCGACTAGGTGATTACATAAGCCTATGTATTTTTTGTTCATGTCAGTCCAGGAACTTTGTGAGAGCATCTTGTATACATAAAACTAATATACAAAAAATAAATTTCATTTGATTAAAATCTAACCGTTTAAAAATATAATTCATCCTTAACAGAAACATTTATAGTTCATTTGGAAATGCATGTAATTTGTTTGTAAGTGATTAATTGGCTCCAAAATGCCAGTGTCATAAGTGGGAAACATTACTCAAAACATCGTAAGGTGGGATTCTGTTGCACTGTGTTACAAATGTTTTGTGTTTCTGAAAGTTTATTGTATAATACATTTTTGATCTGATTTGGTCACTTGATGGTTTTGTGTGTACCTTAATAATAATGGACTAAAAAAAAATGAAAATGTTTTGTTTGTTTATTTTAGTTTTAAATCTATTAATGTTTGTAATATAGAGGTATGTTTACAATTTTACCATATTAAGCATTTTTCAGACAAGAACATAATTTTCTCTGATCAAAATACTTAGTCATAAATTTTGTTGACCCTTATGGGTTTAGTACTTGATTACAATTATAATAATAATTTATAATAATAATTATAATGGACTTTGCTCTTGTTGGTATTTCCTCACTTTTGATCAGCTTCATTTCTGCTCACTAGCTTAGCACAATGCTATGCATATTTAACGTTCTATATTATGTATTGCTATTATATTATGTATTATAAAGTGTTCCATGTTTTGTATTTCTCTAGAAATATATATAGGTTTAGCGCTTTTTTTTTTATTTTAATAACAGTAGAAAAAATATCTAAAAATTAAGTGTGTATGAATATTCTACACTACAGTTTCCCAGTTTGTAAGTTTCTTGTAGTTACCTGTACTGATTTAGATCTGCTTATAAATATAATAAAAAATATTATAATTTCTTGTGTTTCCTTTTGTGTATGCAGTATCAGCACTGTATAACCCCATGAATTCACCGTTACCTTTAAAAAAAAAAGAAATGGTTGATCATTATTATGTACAGCGTTGTACTGACATATTACACTAAATAAAATAAACTGAGAAACAAGAATCAAGTAATAAAGAATTTTGATCAGTATTACAATGTAATGTTTTAATGTTAGGAATATCTATATCTTCATATTTATTTAGTTAATCTTAGCATGAAGAGCCACTGAGAGTCTAACATCTCTTGATCAGTTGTTCTGCTAGTGACCTCTTCAAGGGGGGCTCCTTGGCATGGTGAAGAGGCTCTTGGTCTGAGGAATTAGACCTGTTGCTCTCCTTCCTCAGACCGAACCTAATTACCCCCCAATTCCACCTAACCTATCCCATCCTCCCTTTTTCCTTTCCTCCTCCTCCCCCTCCTCCCTCCCTTATTCCCTTCCTCTTTTTGGCCTTTGGGATTCTTCCCACAGGCCTACTGGTTCCTGGGTAGGGGGAAGGGTACCAGGGTTAATCCCATTCTGTTGAGGTTCTTGGCGGTGGCGTAGTTTGCCGTGGAATCTGGATCGTTTGGGGATATCCCGTTCCCTCTGGTCTTTCGTGGGGTGGCTTTGGGTGTCTTTCGGGTGATGGGTGTATCTCTGGAGACCGCCTTTCAGATTCCAGGGGTTCTTCAACACGCAAGTTATACTTTTGTATCAATCAAATCACATATTACTCGGGTAGATAATTTCCAGTAGATCCTTCATGTGTTAGCCCAAATCACCGACCAGTATGTTTTAAATAAGTGACCCACTGATCAGATCAGACCAGTTCCGAACCCTCAACTAGTCCGAACCCTCGACTGGTCCGAACCCTCGACTGGTCCGAACCCTTGACTGGTTTCAAATGGATTCATTGGACAATAAAGCAGACTGTAAACGGATGGGGTTGTAGGCACCCTTATCAAGCACAAACAATAAATATAAATCAGGAACGTACACGGTAAGCTGTCCAGTATACAAGTACAGTTAGAAATAGAAATAGAAATACAAATAGCTAGAGCTTCATTTAAGGAGGTTATTAATAGAGTA